CAGCCCATGGTCGACGTGGCAATGCCATCGTTTGAGACACCCGCGACAAATCGACGTGACTGTCTTGGTTTTCGAACAGCACCAGCTGCGATTCGCCAACGTAGCATTAGCAGGCACGACGACAGGGACGGGCTTTCCGCTGGAGGCATCCTTTGCCTCCCCCTCCTCCCCCTCGTCTTGCTCTTCATGACCGCCTGTCCCTGAGCCATGCGGTGCGCCATGCTGCAAAACCAGATGTAAACCATGGCCGGTCAGGGCTTCACCGACGATCCCATCTGCCGCCTGCTGCACAGGCAACGGCAGCGGCGGGAGTGGCTGACGTACCCGTTCAACCTGCTGCGGCTGTAACACCGCCCCGCCAGCTGCGACCTGCTGCGCCATCAATAGCCGTGGCGGTGGTGGCGGCGGCGGCGGCCATAGCCCTCCAAAGCAACCGGCGGCTGACAGCTGCTGCTGCTGCCGTTGCTGCTGCTGCTGCTGTTGCTGTTGCTGCTGCTGTTGCTGTTGCTGTTGCTGCCGTTGCTGCTGCTGCTGCTGTTGCTGTTGCTGCTGCTGCGGTCACCACGGCACTGCGTTGGCTAGGTGCTGCCGTGGTGGCAACATTGCTCCAAGTTGGCGTGGGCTTTCATAGTTTAGCTGCGCTCCAAACTCTACCCCCGAATGTAGCAATGGTGCACTCGGCCCGTACGTACCGGTAGAGCAGTATCCCGGTCCCGTAGGTGCCCCAATGGCAGACGAAAGGGGCGTACGTGGTTCCGTGAATTCGAAACCATCACCTGATAGCTCCCCTAGCTCCCCCGAGGCCTGCGATGCTTGGGACATCTGTACAGCTGCAGCAAGGAACGAGTGGCACCCGGCCGCGACGTTCACCGGCCCCGAAGCCCTCGCATGAATTTCTTGCATCTCGTCCTAAACTCCCCCGGGATGATGGGCTTTGCGACGCGTGGCGTTTCGCTGGTGGTGATTCACGTTCACTCACACTTCTGCGAGTCGCTCCGATAGCCGAAGGAGTGTCGCAAGGAAAAGTGTTCACGCCGGAGGCTACACCGCCAGATGTGCCGCCGGCCGACAGGTGGGAATTGCCCAACGGCTCGCTACCCGACGCGTGGTTTTGCTGCAATGAGTTGAAATCCTCTCGAGTGTTCGCGCATGGGGCTGCGGGCAAGGGGTGCGACACCGGCTTGTGCTGGCGACCAGCCGCACCATCCACGCAGTCATCCGCGCCTGCATCATGATCAGCATCATGATGCACACCGCCAGCAGCAGAGCGCGTGCTCGGCAGCATGCCGCTGACCTCCTTGCATCAACGACTGACCGCTGCTGTGGTGGCCAATGGTGGGAGCCACGCTATGCAATGCTTCTCTCTAGAGGCTACGTGTCGATAAGGTACCACCGCCGCCCTGTCCGTCCTTCACAGCACGCGCACCTAGTGCGCGGCGTGCGGAGAAATCTAGCGCAGTGAGGGGAGAACTGATACCGCCTCTTTAGTTCTGCAGGTTCTAGCTTGGACGTGCGTTGCACTTGCGTTCAAGCGTGGCTTGTGTGTGTGCTCTGCCTCAGCAGTTCGTCTCTTGGTTGACTCAAGCTTGTTCTGCTCACAGTTCTGTACGGCGAACTGAGGGTAGGAAGCAAGAGTGATCTGGTGTGCGAGGCTTAACGGAGCCAAGCTTCCGGACGGTCCTACCTCAAAGGTCATCCGTTATACAACGACGCACGTCATCTGTCATATCTCATCTTGTCTCTCTGATTGGTCCAACTTGGGCCTATGGTGGCACTTGTAATTATTCTCCGCACTTCCTGCTGAGAACTGGCCCTAGGTCGTCACTGTACGCTACAACTGTCCCTTAATTGTATCTGCTGACCTATCCAGTCGGTCCTGTCGTGTACACAGTCGTCAGTACCCTACACCACCGACGGTCCCGAACAGAAGATAATCTGACAGTTACTCTGAGTCCAAAATAACGCCTCGAGAACTAGACTGAAACCCATTCTCACCACAGCAGCGCCAGGGGTTTCCCCTCCCCGCTCCCCGCCAGAGCTTTGCGAATAGAACCAAAAAGAGGTTCACCGGGGGAGTGCGGCGCGCGCGTATCTCCAACCAATGAGGAGACAACAAATTTAGAAGTAAAGATCCCTTCGCACAGATGGTAAAATGTACTGTTTATTTGGGTCCCAAGCGAACCAGAAAACCAACCGTAACAGAACCTTCTACAACAGACCGTGGCTCCAATGCGGTGGATCATCGTACTGGACTGTTACTTAGACTAGTCTAGTCTAGTTTTTTTTTCCGTTTCATCTTTTTTTGCTGACCGACGTGCACGCAAGACCATATCCGTCTCGATCGCTGTGCGTGCAAAGACGGCAACGATTCGGTCGGATCGCGCCATTGGATGTTTACATTCGACGTCTTGCTCGAGCTCAAGGTACACGAGATTGACGACGATGGCGACTGTGGTCAAGATCATCCTCTTGTGCGCGATGGCGGCGTTAGCTCTCATCTCCGCCAGCCATATCGTCACCACCTGGTTGCTGCGAAAGGATTTCCATATCGCGGTCAGGTGTGCCATGATGCCAAGGCAACATCTCTTAAGCTGGCCCGATCGATGACCGAAGTTTTATGTTTTCTTGAGCGGTACATGTGTTCCGGGTACAGTCAAACACATACGTACATTAATGGTCCGCGGGACCACAGCAGTAGGTTGTTTCCTTTACCGAGGCTTGGAACAACGCTATCCTCAAACCGAGAGGGAAGCTCGTGCACGCAAGCAAAAGCTTGATGGTACTTGAGCAAAACTACATTTCCCAATGCTTCCACACTCCTCAAAGACCTGTCTCAACATCCCCAACTCGGGCAAGCTGCAAGAACATTCCCCTTCAAGAAGGGCAGCTCTGGATTTGCTCTCTTAGTTGTCAAGAGAAGAGGAATGTGCCCACGACGAGGCTCGAAAACCTACAGCAGCAGCACAGAGGAGCTACTTTGAAGCACACACCCTTTTTCTCTCTGCATAACCTTTCAGACCAGCCGCTGCCAACCCCACCACGCCCCCAAAAGAGAGCTGAGCATTGAGGCCACGCCCTCCAAGGTTTTATGTCCATGAGTACGCTGGCCAGCGACATCTGACGTTGTGCACGCCTCAGAACCGGATGTTTTGATCGAAAAAAGTCGATTCAAGATAGGGCGCGTGCAGAGGCAGTTTCTTCTTCTGCCCCTGGCCTGGCGTGACCAGACCACACGCAGCCTGCAACGCGTTGTTAACGCAATGACTTTGGCTTTGATTGGAGCCCTCCACAGCCTCGCCGCGTTCATTTTTCGTGGAGCGTGTTGGCGATTCGGCGCAGAAACGTGCAGAGAATGCTCGGTAAACAACAGCAGTCGAGGGCGAGGCGGAATACCTGCGGAACACTCTGAGCAGTCTGAGGATGTTCACTTGATATCTGTGAAAAAACTTCCCCAGTTTTCCCCGCCTACGATTGACTGGCCCCCAGAGGTGCACTTAAGATAAATTGATTGAAGATGGCCACGACTAGATTTGTTTCTGGGCGTCAAAAACATTTCACACACGCTATCGTCGCCATACAAGCACCAAAAAGGCCGAAGACAAATGCTCCATGAAGGGCGATGTACGATCGCGTTCCACGGGAGAGAATTAAACTTCGGTAAATAGGCATCGTGGTGAGTTTGTTTAACACCAAGAGTAGTCTACTTGCGAAACGAGCAGCACTTGTACAGATGGCCCGATTTACCGCTGTCTGTTTGTTGCCTGTACGCGACGATCGGAACGCAGATCTCCCCTCCTGGCCACAGTGTCGGGCCTTGCCGGCGTATCGGTTTGGGCTTTCGCGGTTACAGATTGCGTGATGAACAGCGAAGTGGTTAATGCTCAGCTCGCTTTCGCTCCGATTATCACGGTACCTTTGGTTCTTGTCGCGTTTGTTGGGGCGTACATTATTCGGGGCATCCGCCTACTCGTCATGTACAACCCTCACATGCGACATCGTTGGGGGCGGTACTTCAACAAAGAGACCATCATGGTCAAGGTCGTTATAGGTCTCTTCGTCGTCCTTCAGCTCGTGTTGTGGCTCGCGGCGGTGGTGGTAGGGGTGGCAAGGTGAGAGAACGGCGACTTTCTATACCTTCGGAAATAATAGTGGATAGACAGGGAGACGATAACAGTAAGTGGCTTACAGCCAACATATCCCCGCTGCCCATTCGTGTCAACTCTCGCCCATTCGTCTCAAGTCTCCTTGTACAAGCGTAGCACATATTGCGCCGAGGTGTGCGGGCCATGCAAGCGAAAATACGGGTGGTTTGTGTTAGATATACAACATATCCACTGAGCTAAACAGTCAGCGCTGACTTGGGTAGTGGATATGCTGTACATCTAACAAAGTACAACCAGGGTTGTATTCCCTGTAATCAGCGCTGCCCCAAGCGGTTCATCGGCTTCCAGGCGGGGATATGTGTCTTCATCGTTGACGACTGGTGGTATGTACCATGACTTTCAGGTGAACATGTTGTGTATCTAACAGTTTGCTATAACTGTTCTTCACCCAACCTCGGTGTGCCGATGCCAACCTAGACTCGCCCGTGAGTTTCAGCCCAGAGGGTTCGGAAGGCACCGCACGGAAGACTGCGGTGTTGCAGCGCATTCCTTCGAAGGATTCCTTATCTACGGTAATGCAGAAACAATTTCAGCTCTAAATCAAAACAAGGGCTATCGAGGTCTCCCCCAATAATTGCCTTACTGGTAGACTGTGTGCGTAGGGCTGAGGGCATCAACATAGACTCGCGAGTTGTACGTTCTGATGATAGTATTCACCACGTTATTCGGCTTCTCCGGGCATGACCAAGATTGGTACATGCAGCAATGCTCGACGAGACTTTCTACGAAGCGCTGCAATGCGGTGGTTGACAACATTATTCACGGAACCCCTCATTCGAATCAAATTTGCTGCTTACAGGGTCGCCGGAGCCATGATCGCGGTTATCGCGGTCGAAATGCTGCTCACTATCGGGGCATCCCTCATGCTCGCCGGCAAGCTGGCTCGAACTAAGGACATGTTTGACATGTCCGTGGAGATTCGGAGTGTCGGAGGTTTCGCGTTGTTGGCCTTAGGCGAGTGCTTTTCCGGCGTGGCATAGAGCGAACCTCGTTTGAAGTTTGTTTTCATTCCCAAATGGTTCTGTTATCATTCACAGTTCGTCTGACATTCTGGAAGTGAAAATTTACCTCTCGCAAACATCCCTGAATTCGACCATGATGTCACCTGGGAATATCTCTGCCAGAACTTTATGGCAACGCCCCCTTCGGCTTTATCGAGGGCGCGGCCAAGGCTACCGTCGTTAGATGTGTTTCCTCCACCCCACGACGTCATGACTCTGTCCAACTTCGGCGGTATCCCACACCACATACAGATGTCCGTGCACGGGGAGGGGAGGAGCTTGCTCTGGGTTTTCTGCCTTCTTCATTGCATCTCTGGATGATCACTCTTCGTGCGATGAGATGCATCACCGTCATCATTTTTGTGTCACAATTCCATTCCCGCTGCGCACAGCTCAAGCCCTTCTTGTGCTACACTTGGAGTAACCAATCTTGGCGTGACTTGTGTTTGACCAAAGACCCCCCTTTCCCCCTTCTCCTACCCCACCGCCGTGGACCCCTGGATTTTTCGCAGTGATGGGGATTTTCATCCCCATGGTCCCTGCCACGGTCCTGAATTTCTACTTGATCCTGTTCGCCACGACCAGATTCGGGACGGCCGTGTGGATCACGTATGTAGACACTCCTGATGTTGGTATCGATGGTAATCTGTACAAAAACTACTCGACACATGTTTGAGAGGAGCGTTGCTAGCGGGAAGGTTCTGACAATGAAAGCATGCAGGGTTAGGCCGGAGACAAAATTATGAATGTCTATTTCTTCAAGCTCATTGCACCCAGGGAAAGATAAGGTCCCCTCGTGCAGGACACTTGAACCCCGAAACCGAAATGGTGCCACCCACAGTAACCATAATGAAGAAACTTTTGCAATAATATTTCATTGTTAATCCGGCTGAGTGAAGTGTTTATTGATGCCACGTAACAAAGATATTGCTCTGCTGTCCACCGCTTTGTGCATGCCTGTGTTTTCGCACCCTCTCTGACTATAATGTTCTTCAGCAACATTCAGCCAGTGAGGAAAGTGTTACAAAGGAGGGCGGACCATCCAGTCAACGCAGGTGGTTTCGCCTCGCTCTTCCCCTATGTGCCTTGGACGACACGCAGCGGCGCCGTGGCGATCGACGTGATGAATGAAAGCAAGGTCTTTTCAAAACTACCGTCTTCGAAATACATCAGCGTGACGTTGGATGATAAACTGGAAGAAATTCTACGTTTTCCTCCGCTTCTCGAGGCGTTCGGCGAGTTCTGCCGTAAGGCGCTCTGCAGCGAGGTGAGAGTTAGTCTACCCCTTCTTTTCCGCCAAAGAGTGCTAGTTCATGGTGGTTTTCCACATAAGGCCGACCACTATCAGAGTGACACTTGAAGGCCTCACCTTCATTGATCTCTACTAACTGGGACAAGACCTTCCAGACGTGGCAGCGAAGAAAACCTTTACTATGCTCCGAGACAGCAAAAAATATTAAAGAAGGCACAAAGGATGGAATACTTCCTCTGTCCCATACATAAGTCTAGTCGGTTATGGGCGACACGTCCTTCGTGTACTTAGAGGTTGAACCTAACCTCATAGTAACGTTCGTTAGAAAGCTGGCGCGTAGACGATGCTGACGAAAAAAAATAAAGTCAATGCTCGACAACAAACCAAAGGTCTGAAAACCCCCAATTTCGGACCTTTTAGATTTTGTTTGAGCATTATATTGAGAATTGTCGCAACACTTCCCCAATTTTTAGCAGCGCACAGCTCACAAAACGTCATGCCTCCGATAGTCCTCCCCCCTATTACCCCCCCACCTCGCGCGCATCGCGTTGACCTACCGTTCGGCCGCCGCCATGCAA